AAGAGTGAGACTCTGTCTCAAAAACAAAAGAAAAAAATCACCCATGAGACTACAAGTTATTAAAACTAAAAAGTTCAGAAAATTTGTTGAAGCAAAAGTAATATATTTAGGTAATTGTCCTCTTCTTTAAACAAGTGAAAAAAATGTTATAGAAAGAGATAGCATTTTCAGAAGCAGAGGCAACAATAACAACAAATCAATATACCTGCCTAGCTGAGAAATCTAACAAAAGATTACAAGAATTTTATGAAAAAAAATGACAAAGTATCAATGAAAGCCATGAAATAAATCTGAATAAGTTGACAATTGATTTCATATACCACGACTCAATATCATAAAGTATCAACTTTCTCTCAACGTGATCTTTAAAATTGTTACCATTTTAATCAAACTACCAACGAGATAGTTGTTTTTATGTGAAACTTGATAAAAATGATTCTTGTAAAGAGAAGTAAAAAGTTTTAGAAAAGCCAAATGACACTGAAAGGGAAGAGCAAGAAGAGAGCAAAAGAATGATTACATACCAATAACAATGGGAAGAGTGTTATTGGCACAGCAATAGACCAACAGAACACTGGAGAGCTCAGACCCAGGCCCAAGCATAGGAGGGAGGTGGTACTAGAAATCAGTGGGCACATGATGGATGCACCCTCTGTTTGGTTTTGAGACAAGTGATTTACTATATGGAAAAAGTCTGAGATCACGATTTCATACCCTACATAAAAACAAATTCAAACGTATTAAAGACATATACAAAAATCAAATTGGAAAAACTATCAGAAATAAATATAAACACACAATATTCTCACTTATTGGTAGGATTTAAAAATTAAAACAGTTCAACTCATGGACATAGAGAGTAGAAGGATGGTTACCAGAGACTGGGAAGGGTAGTTGGGGCTGAGAAGGAGGGAGGTAAGGATGATTAATGGATACAAAAAAAAAAAAAAAAAACCGAATGAATAAGACCTATTATTTGATAGTACAATAGGGTGACGATAGTCAATAATAACTTAACTGTACATTTTAAACTAATTGAAGGGTGTAAGCAGATTGTTTGTAACTCAGAGGATAAGTGCTTGAGGGAATGGATACCCCCACAAAATTAATAATTATAAACACATAAATTTATCATTATGAGATACGGAAATTTTTCCTTATTATTATTATTTTTTTGAGACTGAGTTTCACTCTTGTTACCCTGGCTGGAGTGCAATGGCGTGATCTTGGCTCACCGCAACCTCCGCCTCCTGGGTTCAACCAATTCTCCTGCCTCAGCCTCCCAAGTAGCTGGGACTACAGGCATGCGCCACCATGCCCAGCTAATTTTTGTATTTTTAGTAGAGACGGGGTTTCACCTTGTTGACCAGGACGGTCTCAATCTCTTGACCTCGTGATCCACCCGCCTTGGCCTCCCAAAGTGTTGGGATTATAGGTGTGAGCCACCGCACCTGGACCTCCTTATTTTTTTTACATGTGAAAAGATGCACAACCCCACTATTAAAGAGGAACTTCACATTAGGATGATGAATTACTAGTTAATATCCATCAGATTGGCACACAATTTAAGATTCTGGCAATAGAAAGTTAGGTGAGAATAAAGGGAATATGAAATATTATTATTATGTTAGTGGGAGTGTAAATTAGTAAAATTCTTCCTAGAGCAATTTAGCAAAATCTAATAAAATTGAGAATACAGATATTATACAGCTGAACAAATACCTGTAAGAATTTTAGAAGATTTAAAAAGTTTAGGTGTGAACCCCAAAGGAATTTTTCTATGTATGTACAAGTAGACATGCACAAGGATAATCACTGGTATAGATATAACATTTTCTTGGATACATTCAAAGACTTGGTAAATTTTTTAAAAACAAAATAGAAAATTAAAACAATTTTTTCATCTACATTGTTGAGCACAACATTAATAGGGGAATAAACAAGATACAGTAAATTTGTATAATGAAATACTTCATAGTAGTTAAAGTGACTGAATTAGATCTCTCTATATTACTATAGTTAAATCCCCTAAATTATGCTAAGTCAAAAAGAACAGGGACATTTAGCATGATGTCATTTGTGTAACTTAAAAACACACAAGTTATTTTAAATATATATATATGTGGATCCATATGCATGTAAACAAACTATAAAATGAGATCCAGAATGATATTCCAATATCAGATCAGAACTGCAAAGACAATCAAGGGAACTTCAAATTTCTGAATTGTTCTTTGCGGTAATGTGAAACAACACAACAAATGTTAACATGCATTCATTCTGCATGATTAATATATGAGTGCTTTTAACATTATGCTTTTCGTATTCTAACATGTTTTTAAAAACAAAATGTGTTTAGCGTATATTGGGCGTATGATGTGTAGATATTTCTTTAAAATTATCCTATTTGTTAGTCTCTAGACTCCTCTGTAGCATGTTTGAGAGACACAATTTAAAACAAGGCAACAATTTTCAGATGGAAGATATATTTCTTTCTATTGAAGATTCTTCTGTAACTCAGCAAACTAGCCTATTTATTAATGTAGGGTATATGGAGCAGAATTGAACAGCTTCCAAGTATAATTATTTTTGTTTTGTCTGTTTTTTTTTTCTTCGCCAGCTACTGAGTGCCTGCTAATGGTAGCAAATATTCCATTAGCAGGCAAATTAAAGAGATGCTGAGTAATTAATAAACCATGTAACCTTCCCTTGAAGAATCATGTTACATATCCTTTCAAGGAGATGAATTGGTAATTCAGAGATCACTTGATTCAATCAATCAGCAACCAATCATTCATAACATCTTTTTCTTTGGGGCCATGTTTTGCTGTAGAAATCAAAGAAAAAAATCATACAATTCTGATGTATATCTGTTCATACTGAAAATTTAGTGAATGGAAAAATTAAGAAGTTACGTAATGATGTGCAAAGATTGTAGAGGTATCAAAGCAACTATCTTTGAGTTACTATAAAATATACACATACAGTGAAGTGTTTTGTGTTGAATAGCAAATGTCACTGAATAACCAAGATGAATTGCCACCATTATATCATAGAAAAGTGCCTCAAAAAAATTTGAAATCAAATTTCTTTGGAAAATAAGTTGTTCTGAATAAGTAAAACAGTGAAGGTTGTCATTAAAAAAACATAAATTAACATATTTCTTGAGAGCTTCAAATTTAAGTCACAAAGTACTAAAGATTATAAAGGACAAAAATTGTTACATCTATCTAATGTATCTATATCTAAAGCTCACACACATGTACAGAGTTAATTGCTGAAAGAGGCCTTCAATTTCAGACCCATATTTTTATAGATGAGAAAACTCAGGCACAGAGCTACATAGTACACAATTTTATAAAAAAGAAATATTTTCAGTAATTTACAAAATTTTCATCATTCCACTTCTAAAAGGTACTGTTTTGGGGGTGCTATTTCCCAATGATGTGCTCACATACTAACACAATTGTTGTCATTCTGTTTTATGGAGAACCTTGTGATTTTGTGGTGTCTTTTTTTTTTTTTTTTTTTTTTTTTTGAGACAAGAGTTTCGCTCTTGTTACCCAGGCTGGAGTGCAATGGCACGATCTCGGCTCACCACAATCTCCGCCTCCTGGGTTCAGGCAATTCTCCTGCCTCAGCCTCCTGAGTAGCTGGGATTACAGGCACGCGCCACCATGCCCAGCTAATTTTTTGTATTTTTAGTAGAGACGGGGTTTCACCATGTTGACCAGGATGGTCTCGATCTCTTGACCTCGTGATCCACCTGCCTCGGCCTCCTGATTTTGTGGTGTCTTAAAGATCATAGGCAAAGAGAAAAGGAAGAATAAGGGGGTCATGAGCAGTGGAAATTGCTACATCCTCTTCACCTTGGCCGGATCTACTTTTATGCATTTTATATATTGGGATTCTGCTTCAGATTTCACTTTTTTTTTTTTTTTTTTAAATAAGCTCTTCTTTTCTAAATCAAAGTTTGTGAGTCATTACAACTTCACCAGGATATTGTTTTCTTGGCCATTCTTCTGCTGTTTATTAAAAAGTATATTATATATATATTTTTAAAAAGGCCGGGCGCGGTGGCTCACGCCTATAATCCCAGCATTTTGGGAGGCTGAGGCAGGTGGATCACGAGGTCAAGAGATCAAGACCATCCTGGTCAACAAGGTGAAACCCCGTCTGTACTAAAAATACAAAAGTTAGCTGGACATGGTGGCGCGCGCCTGTAGTCCCAGCTACTCGGGAGGCTGAGGCAGGAGAATTGCTTGAACCCAGGAGGCGGAGGTTGTGGTGAGCCCAGATCTCGCTGCTGCACTCCAGCCTTTCTCCAACAGTTAAGGGTCTGGTTAAACCCTTAAACGGGCTTTCTCCAACAGTTGAGAGTCTGGTTCCTTCTTGGCTTTATTAGACATCTGATGAACTTCATGGACTCTCTCCCCAGAAAAAATCATACAGACACCACACAATTTTGTACCAAATGTAGCAAGTACATGGACTTCCTAAAATCCATTCACAGATCCTGTGTTAATCATAGTAACTCTAAAAGCTTTATTTAGAGGACTTAAGAAACTTCCAATGGAGAAAGTTTGGAAAAGATGGAATTTTTTCAATACACTATAACTTGCAAGACCAATTTTTGCTGCCTGATGAAGAAACAAAAAGTATTTTTCATTGAACTTCAAGAATCATACATACTCTTGCTGGCCACACTGTTCTTTTGATTCATTGATTCATTCAACAGATATTTATCAAGAATAGGTATTTATCTAGCACAGTGGAAGACACTGCTAGGGGAAATGTAAGTGAATGGTTGACAATACTTGCTTTAAGTGCCATCTATTCTTGAGAATATGAATCATCTTTAACACTTAGCAAATTTTAATCACTTATCCACTAGTTAACACATGTGCACGTGTGTGCACATGCGCGCACGCGCACACACACACACACACACACACACACACTCCTTACTCTCCACTGGAACAAGTACTCTTTTAACTGACCTGGGGCTCGATTAGGTCTGGTTGACCGAGACCTGGGCTGTCTACCCAAGCTGTCTCCAGTGATGCATGTATTGTGTGGTTCGATCAGAGGACAGTAAGGATGTGCAGAGACATAGGGATTCTGGCACCAAGGGCTGCGATTGGGGAAAACGGTTGGTGGAATTTTCTTCTCTCTGTAAAAGAAAAAAGCCTAAATGGAACTCAAAAGCCATTTTATGCTGTGGCGTTAGTGTTGAAGGCACAATTAAAGTGAAAGCATATTTCAAAACCAAGAGAATATGACCTTTTAGACTTTGTGGGAAGAACTTAATTATTACTTCAGAAGCATTAGCCCAGAAATAATAATATATTCTGCACCTCTGCCCACAGCTTGCTCTTGATCCAAGATAAAATTCCTGGATGGTACACCTCTCCCTCCACCTAAGCACTGCTAAAGATTTGGGGATACCTCACTTCTTCACCTCTCTGCAGCAGCCTTGCCTCTTAATAACAGTGCCTGTGAAAAGTGCAATAGCCAGAGAGGTCTCCGAACTACCTAGTGAAGATCACCAGCCTTCATTGCCCCATGAGTATTTGCCTGCTCATTCTGTTTTTCTGCTTTTCCTGAGTCCTATTCAAAATAGTAGTTTCCAAAAATCACTATTAATTCATATATCACACATCCATTTGTCATCTAGTCATTCCCACATACTCAGTTACCAATTGTGGGAAGGACCCATTCAAACAAACAAACAAAACAACATTTACCTCTTAAGAAAAACTTGAGTTTGTTCCACCTGATAATTTGAAATGTGGTTCTTAGGTTGATCTTCTTTTTCTTTAGTTATTGTAGTTGTAGATGCTGTCCACTGAAACTTGTGCCTTCGGAATGTTGGAGATACTACTGAACATCTGTCAAATTCAATGTCAGTCTCTAATTTCTCCCATGCTTGCTTCCAGTGGATAGGGGTGTACCAGGCAATGGCCTAATGAAAATGATTTATTAATGTCGACTGTGTGTATTTGAGGTTTACAACATGCTGTTATGAGATACATATAGATACTGCGGTGGAACAAATTGAGATATTGACCGTCTTACACAGTTACTCTTTTATGACAAGAGCTACTTAACAAAATGTACTTAACAAAAATCCCCAGTATGATAAAATTTCGTTAACTATAGTCCTCATTTGTAGACTAAATCCCTAGACTTCCTCATCCTAGGGATCTCGGCTACTTTGTATCCTTTAACCTACATCTCTCCGTTTTCTCCCCTGCTCCCATCCTGTGAACCACAGTTTTATTCTCTTTCTCTGAACATTTGACCTTTTAAAACTTCCCCATATAAGTGAGATCATGCAACATTTTTCTTTTTGTGTCTGACTTATTTTCCTCAGTATGTCCTCCAGGTCCCTCCATGTTCTTTTCTAAGGCTGAATAATATTCCATCATGTATATCTACATTTTCTTTATCCATTTTTCTGTTGGCAGACACTTAGGTTGTTTCCATATCTTGACTATTATGAATAATGCTGCATTGAAGATGGGTGTGCAGATACCTTTCCAAGGTGATGATTTCATTTTTTTGGGTATGTACCCAGAAGAGGGATTACTGGGTTGTATGGTAGCTCTACTTTTACTTTCTTTAGGGATTTCCATATTGTTTTCCATAAAGGCTTCACCAATCTACATTCCTGCCAAGCATGTACTGGGGTTCTCTTTTCTCCATACTTTCACATTTGTTACTATAGCTCTGTCTTTTTGGAATACCATCCCTATGAAGTGTGAAGTGATAGCTCATAGTGATTTTAATTTGCATTTATCTGATGCGTAGTGAAGTTGAGCACCTTTTAATACATCTGTTGGCCTTTTCTTAAACGTCTTTGGAGAAATGTCTGTTCAGGTCTTTTGCCTGTTTTCTAAATCAGGTTGTTTTTCTGCCATTGAGTTGTAGAAGTTCCTTATACATTTTGAACACTAGCTTCTCAGATATGTGGTTTGCAAACCTGTTTTTCCTAGTTGGTAGGTTGCTGTTTTATGTTGTTGTTTCCTTTGCTGTGTAGAAACTTTTTAGTTTGATATAGTCCATACCCACTTTTATTTATTTTTGGTTTTGTTGCCTGAGCTTTGGTGTGAGACCAAGAAATCACTGCAATGGACTATGTCAAGGAGCTCTTCCCCAATGTTCTTTCCTAGCAGGATTATGGTTTCAGGTTTTACATTTAGGTCTCATATCCATTTTGAGTTGTTTTTTGTTTACAGTGTAAGATACGGTCCAACAGAATTTTTAAAATGGGCTGGGCTCAGTGGCTCACACCTGCAATCCCAGCACTTTGGGAGGCCAAGGTGGGTGGATCATAAGGCCAAGAGATTGAGACTTTCCTGGCCAACATAGTGAAATCCCATCTCTACCAAAAATTCAAAAATTAGCTGGGCATGGCGGCACATGTCTGTAGTCCCAGCTGCTAGGGAGGCTGAGGCAGGAAAATCACTTGAACCCAACAGATAGAGGTTGCAGTGAGCCGAGATCATGCCACTGCACTCCAGCCTGGTGACAGAGCAAGACTCCATCTCAAAAAAAAAAAAAAAAAGAACTATATTATATGGTTACCTATGTGTGTGGCTTAGTGAACTACATGATGAAGATATTGTAAGACATCTTGACCTTAGTTTCCTGTTCTGAAAATTACAAGCAGCATAACCTCAGATAGGTAAGTTACTTTCTATCATATGTAAAACTGAGAGGGCAGTAGTGGGAATTGCTTTACTAAAGTATTGTAAAATTCATCCAGCTACTTAATTTCATAAAAGAACTGTGCAAAAAGTAATGATAATATTAATAAGTTAAGATTTTAAACATTTAAGACACTGTGTGTGTGTGTGTCTTATTTGAGATGGGAAAATGGGCAGTAGAACTAGAGACATGGACAAGAAAACACGTTCTCCAAGCTAGAATCCTAGGTGGCAGTATTAAGGAGACCCATGAGCACTAAAGCTGGAGTTTGTTTGGATTTCCTGAATATGTGACACGTGCACAACATACATGTGCCAAAATTATTCAGGAAAATCCTGTATAGAGACTAACAGTTATATTTCTATTCAACATGGAAAAAGTGTTCTAACATTCTACTTGTTCTAGTGATCTGTTTTTAGTTTACCAAAGTAGAGGTTTGGACTTTATGCTGTAACCACTGAACACCCCTCTGTTTGGCTTGACAAATAACATAAAGACAACACAAGGCAAGTTCAGCTAGGCTAAGCTTCCAGCAGGGAAAGATGAATTCTTTTTAAAAAGTTTATTTTCATAGATTACAGCAAAAATAAATGGACTTTTGCTGTAGGTCATTAGTTGGGAATCCTCCCTTTAAGTAGCTCAAATATATTATATTTTGAAAATATGTTCATGATTTTTTTAGTGTGATCTCCCTTAATGAGATGTGTGCCTTTCCTAGACAAGGCAGTATTTTATTTTTCCCTGTATTGTAGGAACTTAAAAATATTCACTAATAATGATAATGTGATAAAATTTAGCCTCAGCTCTAGAATGTTGGCCACATAAAACTTGCAAACAATTTTTAGTACAACAGAAAAATTATTGGGAGCTAGAAGATATGGTTTTATTTTAGTTCAATGATGTTACTTGTCATGTGACCTTGAACAAACCATTTAACTTTCCAAGCCCAATTTTTTTTCCTTTGTAAAATCCTGAAACACTACTGAGAATCGAGTGAAATAAGGCATATATAAACAGCCCTTCAATGAGTTCCTACTGCATAGGACTGGTCTGTTTCACATCTGGATCTCTAATGCAAAACAATACATTGGGAAAGTACCAGGCATTGATAAACATAAGACATTTATTGATTATTTCACATGTAATTTAGAGGCTCCAAATCCCAATGGGACAACAATGTGACTGGTAAAAAAAAAATCTATCCCTGCTTTAAAGGTCCATAGACTCATGGGATCTTAGTGATTATATTATACATTCTCTTACTTTACAGATGAGAAAGTAGAATAACTATTATATAGTTAACACATGGCAAAGCAAAACTAAAAGCCACCTTTATATTAAGGCATAAGATTTGTAGCTGTACTGAATATTAACCATTGCCATGTTAGTGACAAGATGGCTCAAAAAGTAGTGTAAGATATACTTTATTTTAGGCTTCTTTTTAAAAATGACCCAGGCCATGTGCAGTGGCTCATGCCTGTAATCTTGGCACTTTGGGAGGCTGAGGCAGGTGGATCACGAGGTCTGGAGATCGAGACCTTCCTGGCCAACATGGTGAGACCCCATCTCTACTTAAAGTACAAAAATTAACTTGGCATGGTGATATGTTCCTGTAATCCCAGTTTCTTGGGAAGCTGAGGCAGGAGAATCACTTGAACCAGGGAGCCAGAGGTTGCAGTGAGCTGAGATCGCGCCACTGCCTTCCAGCCTGGGCAACAGAGTAAGATTCTGTCTCAAGGAAAAAAAAAAGACCCATAATATAATTTCTCTTTGCCCATCTTACAATATTATTCAAGTCCAGAAACAGGGTCTATTCTGATCTATATAGCTGGCTATTATTTTAGACAGTGGATTATAGGCGCTGTGACTTTTTTTGCAAGATATGGATTGTTTTCTATATACAAATCATATAAATAGAAAGCAAATTCCAGGGTCATGATGATACTTTGGGTCTGTTTTTCAGCATGTCTATGGAAAGGCAGTAACCTGTCTTTTTTAAGGAAAATTTACCTGGGGGTTGCAGATAGTAATATCCAGTGCTATTAAAGTGAGAATGAAAACTAATTTATTAGAAAAAGAACTCAATACTTACATTAGGATTTCAAACTGACTCAAAGACACATTTCTGCCTATTTAAGGAAAATATTTTCTAGTTGAATTAAATGATGCATATGGCTTTACCATGGGGTAGAATTTCCAATGGAAGTAAAAGTAGTATGAGGAGGCCATTGTGGCTAGAGCAGAGTGCTGGGAGAAGCATGGAAAGAGGAGAGTGCAAGAGGTGAAAAGGGGTAAGATTACTGTGATCCAGGTTAGGTGGGCTAACTCCTCTCCTCTACAGACTCCCAACACATGGCTCTTCCTCGTAATGCTTTTCCTCATGCTCTCCTTTACAGAGTTGATATTTCTGACCTGGGCTGCATGTACTTTATTAAAGCATTGTTTCACTGTATTGCAATTATTTATTATTACATAACAATTTCTACTAGTAGACTCTGAGTTTCTTGAGGACAAGAAGTGTGAAATACTTGTGTTCTTTTTTCTAGTACCATGACTGACAGATACAAAAGATATTTAAATATTTTCTATATGGCTCAATCACTCAGGTTCAGTCTTTCAAGAGCAGGCACAGTTATTTGTGCTTACATCACCCCACAGAAATGGTCTGATTCTGTAAGTGCAAAGTTATTCAAATCACTGGGTAAAAGGAATAGTCTAAGTATAAAGCCTAATTCAGCTGCAAGGAATGAAAATTTATTAAAATTTGCATTCCAGGAGCTCAGGGATCTGGTCTGTCTGGTTTGACACTCAGTGCCTGGAGCAACACACATAGAAAGTAGAAACCACAAACCAGTTTGCAGAGTGGATAACTATGAAGAAAGTTCTGAGACAAGAATGCCTTAAACCTGGGTTTTGCTAATGATCTCTTATGAGGCTGAGTAAATAATTCAGATTTTATATACTTATTTTCCACCATCAGTGAAAATTAATCTAAGTAAATAACTTAGAATGTGTAGCCTTATTTACTCCATCAGAGAAGTATTATAGAATTCAGTTTGAGCCCACAAGGAGATCTAAAGCTGAGTGGGTGAAGCCTGCTAAGTTACATCTAATGGGTGCTCTTTCCATCTAACAACTGTTCCCGCAAAAAGACTCTTAAGAAATTAGCCCTGGCTGGGGGCGGTAGCTCATGTCTGTAATTCCAGCACTTTGGGTGGCCAAAGTGGGAGGATCATGAGGTCAGGAGTTCGAGACCAGTCTGGCTAACAGGGTGAAACCCCGTCTGTACTAAAAATACAAAAAAATTAGCTGGATATGGTGGTGTGCACATATAATCCCAGCTAGTCAGAGGCTGAGGCAGGAGAAGCATGTGAACCCAGAGGCACAGGTTGCAGTGAGCCAAGATCACACCATTGCACTCCAGTCTGGGAGACAGTGCGAGACTCTGCCTCAAAAAAAAAAAAAAAAAAAAAAAAGAAAAGAAAAGAAAGAAAAGAAAAAGAAAAAGAAATTAGCCAAGTCTATTTTAAAGGGAAAGTCCATCTCAACATAGATTAAAATGCAGCAAAAAAGAAACTCAGAGATAGATTATGCTTAACATATTTTGTGGGTTAGTAGTTATATGGCATAGCAAGTTGGACTGGGGGTAAGAAAAAGATGAGTATGTAAAAATGATCTAAAAACCATTTTGAAAAACGACTAACTTTTTTGTTGTTGTAAAAAGAAATACCTTTGAATCTTAATGGTACGTCCATGGGTATATATTTATGCTAATATTATACCAAAAGAAAGGGTGAGTGAAAATATAAAGTTGTCAAGTACTGGCAACAAATTACACAAAGCTATTGCTAAAACCCTTAATTTTATAGGGAGTAAAGTATAGTCATTTCAAGTCAATACTGTAAGCTCTTTCATTAGAATATTAGTTTTTGAGTGCAGATACTATATCTTAATTTGTTTTATTCCCAGTACTTTGCATCGCTCTAAAATAGAGAAGAATCTCAATAAATATTTGAGAAATGAAAAAATAAATAGAAAAGATCTGTATGGAGTACCTTCCTTATCCCACTCTTCAGGCTAAATATCACAAATAAAATCTTCCCTTGACTTTGAAAGTTGAAGATCCTTCCTAGAAATATGAGATATCAAAATTACTTTTGCCAAATTGTAAGTAGCTCTTGGGCCCTTTGACATTGGGAAGAGAATGCTATTGACTTGCCTAATGTGTTGTGGCATTTAGTGATGGTTCTATTCAAGCTTTTAAGGATGAAAAAGTAATTGAGTGAGCTAAGAGAATGGGGAACATAAGGAGAACTATTCATTCAGTGAAAAACCAGCCCAAATGCTCATCAACCAACAAGTAGATAAAGAAAATGTGGTATATTCATACATAATATGGAATACCACCACTTAAGAACTAATGAGCACTCTCGCACCTGACAACCTGGTTATCCATGTAACCAAACACTACATCTTCCCCCAAAACTATTGAAATAAAAAAATAAGTAAATGTGTAAGAAACTGACAAAAAATAAAATAATCTTTCAGGCATAAAGTCAATTTTACTGACATTTATGCATTTAGACACACTGTACAAAATAAAGATAAAAAATACAGATATGCTTAATAAACACAATACTTAAAAAATAAAAAGACTGTTAAGAACGAGAAACTAACTTGACCGTTCGGTTTACACAGGATTGTTATACAATCAGGACTTGCTCTAAACTTGTCTTGTTCTTTCCAAAGAAAATCTGATGGAGGTTGATGCTTTGCTTCAGATGCTGCTGCCCACACCTGTAATAAAATTGTTAATGACAAATACCATTGGAGTCTAATACAATTTTGTAAATGTCATAGGGTTACTCTGACATAATCTTTCTGAACAGATGAGGTTTTAAAATATAATGACTTTATTATGTACAATGTTAAGTTGTGTAACACCAAACAGCTACTCTACAGGGCTTAAAGGAAAAAACGAGAAAGAGAGGAACCCTCCTGCATCAGCTAATTATCTGTTCTCTAAGCAAATAATCTCTTCACTTGTCTTTTCAAGTCTATATTTACTTGGTTTCATAAAATAAGGAATTTCATTTTAATAGTTAAATTATAAAAACAAAATATTGTACACAAAATTGAAGACAGCGTAGAAATTTTACTATGGGTATTAATTTACATCCAGAAGATGGACAGCGTGGTGTAATTAACCACCAACAACAAAATCACATCTTAGGTTCAGATCCAGATCAAGTGATAATGAGACAGTGCTGAGCCACAGGCCGACAGCGTCAACAAGTTTGTCGTGTAGAATTCTAATGTACAGTATTTATGCTCTTATACTCACAGTTACTGTGGAATTGGCCTGCATCACGATATTTGGAAGGAATTGGTACAAAGAAATTGTTTGTCCATTCACATTTTGCTGGAGAATATGATCTCCAATTGCCATTTCTTTGTCAAGGGAAGAGTTAACGAGCTTTATGAACAAACCCTTGACATTCACTTCAGCTATTTTAACATCTCCAAGAGAACTACAAAATAAAACACAAAGAATATAAGGGGCATTAGGATAGGTGTGTCTTTGACTCACTTTAAGAAGTGAGTAACAAAGTGCTTGAAAGTTATTCTTAAACTGTGTATACTACTGGGCAAGTTCTACATAGAAATAGTAGATTTTGTAACCTCAGACAAATGGCTTGAGTTTTTAGTTCTATTTCTTTATCTGTGCAATAAAATAATCTATTTCATATAAAATAAAGAAAACCTAAAAAGTACTTTAGGTGTCAAGGTATAAAAGCCACAGGAAGGTGTGAATTAAAATAATTTAAATTTCCTACTATTCAAGATAAAATCACTGAAACATGAAACTCTCGAAAGTAGATCAAGAGACAAATCATTTACTTCATTTCTGATAAAGTGACTGAAGATAAATAGCAACTATGTAATTCAAAGAATTTTGAAAGGTAAAAACGTTATAGAAACATAAAATGGCATCTTCACCTTTTAACTTGTGCTGAGAGCTTACTATGTATGATCCAGGGATCAAGCTAATCATTTATACACCATTATATATCAGCGTTTTTCAGATTGTGAGCCACAACTTATTAGTAGGTCACAAATTACTTTGGTAGGTGAAGACCCCCAACTTAAAAGTAAAATATATCTGTACTAATAATAACAATACTATTTATACGCCAGGCACTAAAAAACACTATATATCTAATATCCCTATATGTATACCTATCTATGTCTATGTTTATATTATCTATCTACCTATCTCTCTATGTAATTCTCCACAATTTCTTTTCCACAGTTCCAAAGTCCAAAAAGCTCCAAGAAAAACCCAAAAAGTCTGGTCCAAAACTGAGGTGAAGCTATTTATAGTCTTTGTTCATAGTTTATGCGAATATTTATGTTTTTCTGTGAAAAGTTAGATGTTTCATTTTTGATACTTCTGTAATCCCTGGCAGAGTGTTATATAATATGTGTTCTCAAATTTCCTTTCCTAAAATTCTGAATTTGGAAATACCTAAGTTCCCATGTATTTTGGTGAAGGCATTGCGGACTCACAGTAACTCTTATAATTCTCACAATAACATACTTATTTCTTGTTAAAATACTTCTACATATTTCTTATTGAGGATCACATTAAAAAATGTGAGGAATGCTGTATTATCTCCTTTAATTCTTAAAACAACTCAGTTAGGTAGTATTTTTAGTCCCATTTTATAGAGAAATTGAGGTTTAGAGAGATTAATTCCCATGTCCAGCGTCACTCCATAAATATTAATCCTTGTCCTTCTACCTCACTCAACTAGTAAAATCTCAAATAGATTTGATCTAAACATTCAGACTGTTTAAATTTTGTATACACCATGGCATTTGAGCGCTGCTAGCAAATGCATATGTGCGCGTACACACACACACACACACACACACACAGACTGCTGCTACCAAAAAATTAGTGGTCTCCAACCACACCTGGGCCTCTTCTAATTGACAGCAAGTTGTCATCTTCATAAGCCAAGTCAGCACCTTCTGCCATCCTTCAACAATGTTCAAATCCCTGTCCCATATCTCTGTTCTCTTACTTGGAAAGTTATCTCACTAAGAAAACATGGCCAACAGAGAGAAGTACATGTCCCCACTTCCCACATAGAAACAGGCTCACCTATAGCTGAGCCCACTTTTTCTCTGTAGCCCACCCCGTTTCCATGGAAGCGGCCCCTTCTCCCATCTGCAGTGAAGCCCTCTGGTCACCAGCTTCTCCTGATGCTTCAGCAACTCGGTCCCCTCATTGTCCTTCCCTTCTCCTTTAACACCAACTTCTCCCTCTGGACTACCTATTTCCTCCACATAGGTACATATCTTTGAGGGGCTATCACCTTAAAAAAAGAAAAAAGAAAACAATCCTTCAACTTACAATTCCTACTGCCATCACAACCTTGCTATGTCACTAATTAAAATCACCTGTTAAGAAAAATATATGCTCTGTGGACCTGGGGTGAAGAATTCTATACATATTCACTGAATTTACTTGTTGCAGGTCTGAGATCAAATCATAAATGTCCCTGTTAATTTTCTATCTCATTGATCCGTTGAATATTAACAATGTGGTGTCGAAGTCTCTCGCTATTATTGTGCGGGAGTCCAAGTCTCTTTATAAGTCATTGAGAACTTGTCTTATGTATCTGGGTGTTCCTATATTGGGTGCATATATATTTATGATCATTGACTCCTATTGTTGTATTGATCCTTTTGCCATTATATAATGTCCTTCTTTGTTTTAGTCTTTGTTACTATTAAAGTCTATTTTGTCAGAGACGAAAGTTACAACTCCTGTTTATTTATTTATTTATTTGCTCTCCATTTGATTGGTAAGTCTTCCACCAAAGCTTTGTTTTGAGTCTTTGATGTCCTTGCTTATGAGATGGGTTTGGATACAGTGTACCAATGGGTTTTGACTTTTTGTTCTATTTTCCTTTCTGTGTCTTTGATTGGGGCATTTGATCCATTTAAATTTAGGATTAATATTGATATTTGTGGGTTTAATATTGTCTTTTAATACTAGTTGGCTATTTTGCCCATTAGTTGATATAGATTCTTCATAATGGAAATACTTTTTACCTTTTGATAAGTTTTTGGGATGACTGATACTGGTTGCTCCCTTCTGTGTACAGCTCTTCTTTCAGAAGCTCTTGTAAAGCTCTTGTAAAGTGACCACATAATTGGAAGTAAATCACTCTTCAGCATTTGCATAGCATTTCACAGACTTAAATGAAATATTGGTTGGCTGTTTGTTTGTTATTTTCTTCCCTTATTCCTTCCTGTCTCTGCTGATAAGTACAATTATCGGCATAAAAGAGGTTTTTAATACCTATTTTTAGATTGCATTCCAGCCTGGGCAATAGAGCAAGATTCCTGTTCTCTCTCCCCCTTTTTCTTTAAAAAATTGTTAAAAAATGTTTTATAATAATAATTTTCTTTTCCAGTATCACTTTACACACAAAAGGGAAAAATGAACTTTTGTGTGATGAAACTTAGTAGCACACACAAAAAATGAGTGGGTAGTGGAGTTTGCCTAGATCCAAAGCCTCAGCTTCCCTCTATAGCATGAGGGCTGTCGTAGCTTTGGGTAATCTCATCTATGGGCACTGCCTAAATGACGGCAATTCCCAAATGACTCTCCATGCTAGGTCTCTCTCTGTTGATAGCCTACTAGTCAGTTTTTCCAGTATGCCCCAGAGGCACCTCAGATTCTATAGGCTTCTATTTGAATTATCATGGTTTCCTTATCACCACTTCTCTTTTATTCCCCCCCACCCCACTTAGTAGTGCCAGCAATTAGGGCTATTCTTCCTCTCTTATCCCCCTACATCTGATAGAAAAAAAGATAATAAAATAAAATCACCTCTTATGTACTTCTCAACCCACAACCACCTACCTCTACTAGAGACCCACATGACCAGTGCCCTTTATAATTGAGAAACTGAGTGGCAACCGTTGGTCTATACTCTGCCAGATGTGTCCTCTTTTTGGAAACTCTTCCCTTTGTTTCTTGAAGTCCACTGTTTTGCCTCTATCAGTCTTATTCCTTTTTAGCCCCTTTTTCAGATTTTACCCAGCCCCTTCTCCCATCTTCCAGATGTTGATTCCAGGGATTTTGTTCTTAGCTCTCTTTTATTTCCCCCATTTATCCTTATAGGTGATGTTATCCATGGACAGTGTTTACTAGACATTAATACACCAATGACTGCTAAAACTAAATCTCCTGCCTAGACCTTCCTACCGAGCTTCAGACCCACAGAAACAACTCACTGTCAGATCCCAAAAGGTACCTCTGAATTCATCACTTTGGTCTGTTGCAAATGTACTCTCCCAAGCAGGAAACTTCCAGGGAGCTGCATCATTTACCCTGTTGGCTAATCCTGAAACTTCCGTTACTGTCCCAGTTTCTTGCCCGTCATTCCTTATCCATGACCAAGTTCTGCTGATTCTTCCTCTTTAGTGGCATCTATTTACATCTTCTCTCCATCCCTATGGCTACTGCCTTTATCACACTCTCATCATCTCTGTGAGACACTGAATTGGCATCCTATCGTCTTCAGCTACCCGCTTCTGAACATTCTCCACTTAGCTTCCAGAACAATCTTTGTACAATCCAAACCTGACATTTCTGCTTCCCTCCTGGAAATCCTTCAATATCTTACCATTTCCTTCTACAGAAAACACAAACATCACAGCATTCAAACAAAGCTCTACACAATCTGTCAGCTTCTTTAACCCCTTTTTTTCTTACTTCCTAACTTATGCTTAAACTGCAGTCATAAAGAATTCCTTGCAAAAGCATAATTCATGCTGCTGCAGGCTTCACTCACCATGTGCACACATACTATTTCCTCTTCTTGGTCCCCATATCCTTATAAACACTTCAAATTTACAGCCTTCTTAATTTTTTTTCTATCACAGACACATAATGGAATCTCATTGTATTTTGTTTTGTTTCCTGATTATGTTGGGGGAAGCAGCAAGGGAGAAAGGACTTAGAGTGCCTACATAAATTGGTTATTAGTAACACATAAACTGGGAACAACAAACCGCAGCAAACTAAGGGAGGCCACTGGGGGGGCACAGTGCAGAGTGGGAGGTTGGGGAGAGATAGCATGGGGAGAAATGCCAGATATAGGTGAAGGGGAGGAAGGCAGCAAATCACGCTGACATGTGTGTACCTATGCAACAATCTTGCATGTTCTTCACATGTACCCCCAAACCTAAAATGCAAAAAAAAAAAAAAAGGAGAGAAAACATTCTGTGATGGGAGAATATATAACTCCATTTTTAGATAATAAACCAATTCTATCAATTAAAAAAAAAAGACTATTCCTGACTTCAGGAGTTAGATCTAATCAGATTAGAAATCCCAAATCAATACTTGCCAAAAGTATAAAAAAAATTTAAGAATTTGCTTTGAACAGCTTTATTTGTATGTATATGATATATGTGTGTATGTGAGAGTATATTTCATATAAGG